TTCCCTACGTCCCCTTCCGCCCCCCCCCCCCCCTCCCCCCCTCCCTCCCTCCCTCCTCCTCCTCCTCCTTTCTCCCCTTAAGACCTCTTTTCTTTTCTTTCTATCCTTTATTATTTTGCTAACCTCTTCATCATTGACTTTGCGCTGTGATCGTCTTAACTGTCTTACCCCTGATTGTCTTTGTTTCAGCAACACCTCCTGCCATTTTCTTCCGCATTCGTGCGACACCTAACACGGCATCTCATTGAACGCAAACGCCTCTCCACCCACACTGTGTTTCAGAGGCGAAAGATCAATCACGATGAATGCCACTCCAGCGCTTGGATATGCGCCTGGCATCTCGATGGCCCCGCAAGGTACGTAACCTGAAGCGTTTCCCCTGATGACTGGATATCATGCATTACCGCTGGGGATGGTCTGAACTCCTCCTGATCCTTAAAACGACACCTTTCCTTGACTCTTGATCCAAAAAGTCTACCCTTTTCAGAATCTTGGCTGATTTCAAACATCGTTGCGAACAACAGAACACCAAGCCTCTCCAACAGCGGCCAGCTTTGGCTCCAATAACCCCTTCCGAAACCGCGCTTTTACGCCCTCAGTTGGTGGATCTATCTCGTCGAGCAACCGCCCGGAACGCCCACGCTCTACAAACCCGTTCCTAGACGACACAGAGGTGATGTCTCCGCAGTCAGCCCCTGGCATGTCGACTGGTGTCAGCATGATCTCTCCGATAGATCAAAACGATATGTCAAGCAACACTCGGGATCTTTTTGTATGTTTGTGAATAACCTACGTGTTGCGTGTTCAATTCGGGTCTAACCGTTTAATAGGAGGCCCTCTCCCTCAAGCCTGCTCTGCCCGCGCCATTTGATGTAACCCAACGCACTGCCTCGAACCCCAACAGACCCCGAAGGGAGCGCCCGGAGCGTCCATCAGGACCATCGGCGGCACCGAAAGAGAAAGATCTGCTCGATATATTTGCCGATCCCCCCACTTCGTCCCAAACTGCCAAAGACAAGGCGCCACGTCGTCCCCGGCGGAACTCGGAGTCGTCGGTAATGGACCGAAGCTCGAAGTTGTTAGATTTTGACGACGATGACGACGATGACGAGAAGCGCCAACGCGAACGGCGCCATCGCGAGAGTCGTAGCAAAGATGGCAAATCGCGCTCGGGCCGCAAGGACCGACGACTTGATGTCATTGACAAGCTGGATGTGACGAGTATCTACGGCACTGGGAGTAAGTGTTTCGGTCTTTTATCGTTTTCCTTTGTTTTCTCTCTCTTGCGAGTATACGACTCACATGCTAACTACTATCAAAGTGTTCCACCACGATGGTCCATTTGATGCCTGCAACCCCCATCGCAATCGCCGTGGCATGCGCACCGCGCCTATGCAAGCCTTCCCCAAAGGTTCTACCAATATGGCTTTAGGCGGCACCGGCCCCAACAACTCTAATATTGATCTCAATCTTTTCCACGGCACGATGGAGGAAGGCCACAACGACTTCTCCACCGCGGCTCGCCGCAGTGCTGACACAGGCGTCGTAGATCCCACTGCCCGAGTGGACCCGATTCATGGGCCACAGAGTATGGGACTGGGAACCAGCACGTTCCTCGACGGAGCTCCCGCGAGTCGATCTGCCATGGCGCGCCGTCAGAGTGAAAATGAAAGCAGTCTGGCACAGAATGGTGGCCTCGCACGAAAGAAGAGTCTGGCTCAGCGGCTACGGGGCCGAGGTGCTGGATCCGGCCGCATGTCTTATTCAAATGACAACTATCCTCTAGCTCCCCCACCGCCGAGCTCCAGTTATTCTGGGTCTGCCCGGACCAATGAGAGAAGCCCCTACAACGAAGAAGAAGAATATGATGAAGAGTGGGACAGAAAGGGATCGAGCATCGAAGCTCGCTTTGAGGGTGGTCGGCTTCGCTCGTCTAGCAGTCCCAAGCAAATGGAGCGCAAGACCACCAACGACCGACCTTACGAAGAGTCGAAGCTCAACCCTGGTGGTAGTGGGTTCTTGAACCGAATGAAGAGTCTGCGCAAACCCAAGCCGGAGAGACGGACCAGTGACTGAGTCACCTAGCAGTCATACGTTGAGCCTGTCCTGGAATTATGTCGATGTAGCAAGCGGGCCTTTCTCACTCGGATGCACCTCCGGGATGTATCAATCCCACGTTTATCTCACCATCTCACCATCTAACTCCTCGAGGAGGAGAGATGATTCTACGCTTTAATACCCAACATCGGGCACCAATGAACACTTAGTGCTCAACATGGCGTTCATATATTTCGGAATAGAATGCTTCGAAATGCGTCTGATTCCAGACCGTCATGAAACACAACGCCCTGATCTTAAGACCATGGCTATGACTTGGAGTTTTTTTTTCAAGGTTTATTTTCTTCTTGTACCTCACACCAACCTTGCTTTCAGAAAGGAAACTTGTATTTTTTTTTTTTTGTCCGATTGCCGTTTCCCATGTCAGTATCTTTGAATTGGATCATGATTATTGAAATAGGTTATCCCAACACGTTACCGTCTCTATTCGATCCGTTGGTGAGAGTACAACATACTGGACAGCCACATCCCACACATGGCATTAAATTGCCCTGCCACATCCTTAGTCCTTAAAATAAGATCCTACAAGTTTCATGACACCGAGTCATGTGTGATATCATCACCCTGCCGGCGAATGAGCACTGTGAAACCTGTGGCTTAGTTATAGGAATCGACCATGCCCTTGGAGTCGGGGTTTAAACGTTTTGGTGGCAATGAAAGGTTCAACTATGGAATTCCTAGTGCGCACTGGACCATCAAGCCGAACGCTGTGCACATAGGTTCATACGATATAATGTTTGCCCTCATTCCCTCGGTCCTCCACAAGAAGATCATACATTATTCTCTATAGATGGTATCTCAGATGATATATCGTTGTTAGGCTCATAGCCTTTTAGAATCATGATGGAAATCACTACTTACTATAGCCGTGACTTTGTGTCCATGTCAAGATGTTTTAGATCAGTAAGGATTCTCAAGTTATTTCAGAAGCAACACTTACCGTGAGAATGTGTCTCTATCACCCTCAAGTCTATCCATAATCAAGCTTTGAATCCCTATTAAATTGAAATCATAGATTATCACCATGGGCCAACATTCGTTGAAAGCCTTCAGCATATACATCGGAGATCTCCCATCCTCCCTCGCCCAAGCCTACTCATACCTATTGGATCAATTCAGTGAGAAAAATAGAGAGATAAAGGCGATCTCCACTCTTCGTTGTCGATAGATATCACCTCATCCAGCGTGCTTCACCGGCTTTCAAAAGCAAGCTGCAAGCCTCGTGAACTAAGATTCTTTGGGACTACCATTTTCGAGGGCTAGCCTGGGAATTGGGCTCACTCTCTTCAGTGTCTGCCTGACCTAGGCCCAGACAGTGAATCGACTACGAAGGCTACATCTATTGTCGATGTAAAGGAGGGGGGGGGGAAGCAAGGGATGTCTTGTTTTGGGACCATTTTGATGCAGTTTGAAACAAAGGGTATCTTGATGCACTTCCGATTGATTGGTTGAAATTTTGCGGCTTATCTTTTGGTTCTGATGTTTTTTGGTGTATACACATAGTCTGTGTTATTGAATCTATTGGCCTTTGTAGGCTTACGGGTTAGCCTCTAGAATTATATTGAAGCCTCAGTATTGGCTTGGGAGACTGAAATGAATCTCAAACAAAAGGCGCTTTGTGATTTCAAACGGAGAAACAGTAATAAAAAGCAGAATAAGACAAAGGAAAAAGAGAACTTGATCGCGATCGTTCGCCGTGTAACTCTGTCTCTATAATATCCCCTATTCCGGTGGGTGTTGATCATAGACCTCTCTATTATCTCTCTGACTCCTCCAAATCAATCCCTCGAAAGCGACTCTGTACAATGAACAGCACCAGAGATACCATGGATAACATCACTAGCAGCATGAATAAGGTCGCTCTGGCCAGTGGCACATATATAGTCTACCTCGTCAAACAAGAATGCAAATCCTCTGCCTCCAAAGGCAGTTTGGCTATCGTTGTTCACACCGACAACTGCCAAATCCGCGGCGAAATTCGCTTCATTGCGTCCGGCAATACCAGCACCTCTGGATTGAGCCACCAGTGTCACAATATTCGGGTTGATAAAATCAACCAGATGGGAGAAACCCACTGGAATTAGGTACCACCCTTGCCCAGAACTATCCTGGTCGTTGGGTTGAGGCGTTGAGGCGTTGAGGAAGCTGCATATCTTGTTAGCGAAGCACAATCAGCAAGACATGTTGACTCTCTTGGCTTCGCCACTAAAAGTCTCCCAGTGGATCCAGCTGGCTAGGCCTACGCTAAAAGAACGCTGGGCTCTTCAAAAAGGAATTGAAGCTGCTCCAACTACAATTCGCGTAAGAAGTTGAGGTGGTCTAGGGATGAAGATGAAGGTTAGGCTGGAGAATGAAGTCGAAATAGAAAGGAGTTGAGAAGAAGAAAGGCATCCAGTTTGAGGATACGAGCAGAGGAGAAAAAGTGTTAAATTGTTAGTCTGGCGGATAGCGACGGTTTATGAAAGATGAAGTATTGCATGTCAGAACGAGATGGACATCTATACTTCAACTCGACTTTGAAATTGAGTGATGCTTTCTTCCTGAAAAGCAGACTCAAGAAAAAAAAAAAAAGAGATGTTCGATATCGTTTTAACCTTATTGGACGCTATCGTTGCCCGTACCATCTCACCTTTTGAAGCTCTCACCAGCTTCTGCCATCTCACCCCGAGGTTCTTTCTCTACATCACCATGGAGGATCGATCAGCCCTGACCAATCCGCGATTCACTCTCGAACTTGAATTCGTCTCATCTCTCGCCAACCCTTACTATCTGTCACACCTGGCAGTCACTTATCCCAATCTCCTGGGTATCTCACGTGCCGACGACGACAATGATTCCCCCTCACCAGACGCCGAGGCATTTGCAGCCTACCTAGCCTATCTCTACTCCTACTGGAAGACACCGGAGTACTCTCAGTTCCTCACCCATCCCGGCCCCACACTACGAGCGCTTCGACTGCTCCAGGAGGATACCTTCCGACGTGACATTATCCTACCCCAGGTCATTGAAGGCCTGGCAGGGGTCAGTGTCTCCGAGCCAGCTCAGACCGAGACCGAAACGGCAGATGAAACGAAGGAAGATGGTCAAAATGGAAAGACATGATGTGTTTAAATTCCGCACCTACGTTTGATGCGACCGAGATGTGCTTGTTTCCTGGGTGCAAAAATATCCGAACAGAATGTGCTCTGGTAATCTTAAGCTGCATAGGGCATTTACACTCGGATGATTTTATTTCCACCAAACTCGACTTTTGACCAAGTTGAGCAGGAGAGTTGTGTGAACGCGCTTCAGGTGCAACCGAGGCTCCGAAGTTGTCCATTGGAAAACCCCCCCCCCCCCCCCCACCCGCGCGCCCTCAACTTTTCAAGTGTTCCCCATTTGACCTGATGACAGTGGCAGAGAATTGTGGAAGGGGGAAACGGACCAATTGGAAAGTTCTTTACTGTACTAGTGTGCCTATCATGTACCTCTTGAAGACGATATGTCATTTTGAAGTTATCGCCACATTCTCCTGGGTATGAAGGTCATCATGGCTGCAATTAGCAGTACCTATCACCTCAAAATGAGCAAAATTTCGAACAAAATGATACAATTTAAACCGGACAAGCCCTAAAGAATCTTTATATGTATGCGTACGTACCAGACAAGATGAACAGGTCAACCTGGTAGCTTGAAAATAGGATATGCCCGAACATCCCAAGAGATCCATCCTGATTATTTTTTGTCTTCTTCAATCATCTTGTCTTTCCAACTTGCATTCGGGTCTATTCAGTAAAAAGTCCATTTTCAAAGAGTCTCTGTGCCTTTTCAGACTGCCGTTACAACAAAGCCCCACACCCCCCTGGTAATCGGCCCTGAACTACCACCTTAGCCCGTTATCGTCCACATTACGCCGTCCGGACATCCCCACGTCTTTCCCATGGCCGTGAACTAGTCTTCCCTCAAACACGCCGGCTTGTCTCCCTTCTATCTTCCACACCTACTACCAAGACCGTCGCGCTCTTTCGTAGGCCCCCGCCACCTGGAACTGCGTGTGGCATTACGATCCCAATGGAGTCCGTTCGCCAGTCTTGTCGGCCAAAGCACCAGGTCTTGACCTTGAAATGTTATCCAAAATACCAGAAGGGAGTGTCGGAGGTCCGGCCGAATCCGAGTGAACTCTCCTACCTGCTGTACTATACGAGCACGCGCCGCAGCAAACTGACCAAGGTCGGTGGTTTCCTGGAGAAGAGAGTTGCTCGGGATGTCTGGAGACGCAGAATAGGGTGAGCGCATACTTGATCGCCTGAATCATCAGACTCGACAAGACGAATGGCTGACCGATCTCATTGCACAGGAATGTTCAGGTGGCGCTGCATATCCTGGCTGCGCTCATTGAAAAAGTTCCTCGCGACCTGCCTATCTACGCCCGATCCGTCATGACAATAATCGACACCGTTCTCCGATCAAATGACATAAATATGGTAGAGGAATCGATTGTGACATTCGAAATGTTCTGTCAGTATCAGGACATTGCCGCCATCGCGGCTGACCAGGGCCTCGCACATCAATACCGAGAAGTTGTGCGAACTTACACTAGCCTTGCCGACCCGGAATTTACATCCAACTCGAACTCAAATTTCAGCCCGCAGATGGCCATCCGATGGAGAAATGCGGGACTGCAAGCTATTAGAGCTGTGGTCAGCTCAGAGACCTTGACCACCGATGGGGGAATCTCGCTGAAGCTCTGTTTGCCGGTTGTTCTGAAGAATCTCTATTCTGACGATGAAGATCTTCTTACGACACTGAAGTCCAAACTTACCGAACCTGACCCGAATGAGCGCGAGAGGCCCAAACCCCGCCGAATGAGTGTCAACACGGTGCATACAGTGGACACGGCAGAGGGTGACCCCGAGTTGGCTGCGCAGTCGGCTGTGGAAGCAGATCGAAAGGCGGAACTGGGCGCTCGCGTCTTGGCCCTCCGCTGTCTCGAGCAAACCATCGTCTCGGGCAGTAACCGGGGCCAGATCCGTACTGCAGTAACGGTTGTTCTACAGTTCATTTCAAGCAAGGGCTTCCCACGGAGCGAAAAGCATGTCCAGATCAACGAGGGCAAAAGTGGCAACTGGGCAACATCTTTGATCGAGCTCATTGCGAACTGGTGTCCAATGCAAGTTCGTTTTATCATCCTGATCACAGCTATGGAGATTCTCCACGATACAAGCCCAAAGGAGGACGCTTTAGAGTCATCATTCACCATTCTTTCTGTGGTGGATTGGCTTCTCAGTTCTTCTGTGAATATGATTGGACTTAGCGTCATGGACATCCTCTCTGGGCTCATGCACTACGCTTCTGATATAATCTCACCGCCAGAGCGTACTGGGTCTGCAGAATCAGAGAAGAAATCAAATCGACAGACTGACACCGTGGTTCAAATCTGTCCCCGACGACAGGATCTTCTTACGCTACTGGAGCAATGTATTGGAGATCTTGCAACGCACATGTACTACAGAGACCAAGTCGCAGACATGATGCGTGCGATTCTCAGGCATTTCAAGCCTAATTTCCACCATGACAGTTCTACGCCATCCACATTGGCGACCGTTCACGAATCTAGTGTGGCACATGAGGGCTCAGCAAATTCCGGATCTGAGGCATATGGAGAGAAAACAAGCGCAGGTAGCTTCTCGCATGCTGCTGCTAAACTGACTGCTCTCCGATCCGTCAAGGCTATCTTGGTTGTGGCCAATTCAAGGACGCCAGCAACCATGTCCGGCGTCGAATCTAGACAGCCAGTCGGAATCCATGTGTGGGAAGGAACCCAAGTACTTCTTCGTGATGCGGATCGTGATGTTCGCTATGCATACACAGATGCATTCCTATCATGGCTGCAAATGGAGACCTATGCGGACGACCTCAAGGTCAAATTAGATTCACCCAAGTACATCAAGACAACCCCCAAAAGAGAAAGCGAGCAGGTGGACAGGTCGATCCGACGAAGTAGCTCGGCCTCCGGGAATCAGAGGGATAAAGTGGCGCTAGTGGCTCAGTCGAACTTCCTACGGCTTCTGCACCTGGCTATATACGATGCTGCACTTGAGGCAGCTGTTGATGACGCTGAGATTCTCCTGCTGCACCTACTTCTTGCAAATCTTGTCGAGAACCTTGGGATTAATGCTGCCCAATTCGGTGTTCCTATGGTCCTCAAAATGCAAGACGACTTGTTAAACTCTATAGAACTGAGCTCTGTCGCAGCTCGCGTCAACATTGGAAGCTTGATACATGGATATCTTCTTGCACTGTCTGAGTATTTCAACATGCAGTCCTCCCCCGTGGGACTTGAGATCAGTAATGAGATTCAAGAGCGACAAGGCAAGGGATGTTGGCTTTCCAAAATCTGCCTGCCCCCAGTGGATCTTAATGCCATTGAATTTGACAATGAGAAGAGGTCTGGCAACAATTCCACTTCTCGACCTCCATTGACACCCTTCCGTAATGTCGATGGACTTGTCTCTACGATTGAAGAGTCTTATCGCATGTCGGCATCGTCTCCTCCACAAAGCCCCTCGACCTCTTCTCCAGCACAAGGATTCACGTTCCCGGTTCTCGGGCACCCCACAACAACAGTCAAATCCCAAGTCGAGGGTGGCCTCCCGTCCGTCGTGAAAGAACAGATGTTGTCTCCGTGGTCTCGTGAGGCGTGTTTGGCAGCCGTCGATAAGGAAAGCACTGGAACTTTATCGATCAATGGCTCTCGGGCTACTCAAAATACTCGCAACAATCAAAACCAAACCAATGCGGTTACAAATATCTCACCCGCCGGCTCTCAGTATAACCGCCGCATGAGTGTCCCGGAGATAGCAGCCTCGTCATCCCACGGCTCGAGCAGAGGCTCGCCTGTTCGCGTCAATGAGCTTCGACGCGTGCTTTCGGTTACTAACGACTCCCATGCTCGACGCCTCAGTCCACTGCGTGGACGACTTGACGCGTCGAATGCTAGCATCATCTCTTCCGGGAGCGATAGCATGGTCAGCGGCAACTTCTCTGTTTCCGAGATAGAGGGAGATGCTACCTCGATACATCCAGAGAGCCCACAAGCACCCGATCACAATGAAACGAAGACACCCCGTGCTTTGGCTGCGGCAATTGTCCCACCAGGTGACAAAGCCCTAACCGGCGAGGCTCCGAATTTAGAAATGATTGAGTCAGACGCAGAAATCCCCCCCGTCCCCCCGATCCCAGCCGGTTTGTCGATCCGAGGTGGCTTCCCAAACGACTCAAAGCGTGCGCAGCCCTCAAATAATCGCCCATACACCGCGCCGGTTCCCTCGGCGGCGAGAGACAGGGCTGAAGCCAGTGCCTTGAACAATAAGTCTCTAAATCTCAACAAGAGCCGATCCAACCGTAGCCTTGCCACTGCTGCAATTCCTGAACTCTTAAACGACTATGAGTCGGATGCTCTAGATGGTAGTCACCGGGATCAACTGAGGAAGCTCTTAGATGGGTTCCTTGCGCCAAGTGAAACCACGCCGACAATTGGAAGTCGCCCGACAACTGTCAAATCTGCTTCCAAGGCTCCATTGAGCGAGTCTCACAACAGACGGCGGATTAGCGGAGGCCTTGGTCGGCCGCCCTATTGATCTTTTTGTTTGATCTGCACTTTTGCGTCATTCTCCAGATATCTTTGCTGCCATTTCCACATCCTGGCTCTTCATATGTTTATACAACTTTCTTTCTGTTATAGCTTCTTCCTTTTTTTACTCGCCATGCCTTGCCCTGCATAAATTTTGTCTGCGCTCATGTTGAATGCCGAGTTGCTGGATGGTAAGCCCCCAACCTGTTCAAGATACACATGTCCCTTCTGTTTTGTCAGTTTTCCTTACTCACTGTCTATCCTTTTTTATTTATATTCTTATTACCTTCGACTTACATATTTCACTTTTGAAAATTCGGGCGCTGTTGTTTTTGTCTGTCGGCACTCACATTTTCCTTATTATTGTTTGCTTGCGATGGGGTAGTCACAGCGTAGTTTATCTAGCTACATTGTCAATAATCATAAAATAGACGGTGCCAAAACGAACATAGCAAGACGAGGTAGTTTGATAAATGTATAACCAAACAGCCATGTGCGGCATTGGCTTGGACCTCGAATTGGAAGCTAGTATTTAAACGATGAAGCACACGTAGTTGGGATATCATGTTATAAGAAGAAAACGCCCAAGAGAAGAGAAAAACATCAAAGTCCCCGTTGCTCAACGAGACCCGGCGCCGGAGGACGCGACTCTTTCTCTAGCGGAGCAAAATACTGACCAAAAGCCTTGCGTAGGATCTCTTCAGACAGCTGCATGTGCTGTCCAGGGGCAGTCTTGAAGTCCAGCTTCCCCTGCTCATCAAGCTGCTTCAACCCCAGCCAATCCTCCTTGTAGATCGGCCTCTCGCGAAGAGCCGTCACCTCGCCACTAGTGGCATTAACCTCAGAGAACAAAGCACTCTGCTTAGGAATAGCGACTGTATCCTCCTCAAACATGAACATCGCAAACCGATTCAGCGATACCAGATTCTTCTTGTATGTCTCGTTCTTGACGGCGCGCTCGTTGTTGATATCCGCCAGGAAATTGCTGTGTTCAAGGTAGACATCTAGCTCTTCCGGATCACGGAAGTACTGCGCCGGCACGACACGCGACTGCGCAAAGCTCGTCCACCGTCCCGAACGTAGTAGTTGCTCGGCCCCTTTACAGACCCAGTTGTCAATGGCACACGACTCAAACGCAGAGATGCCGTTGTGTTGGCTGCCGAATGTGACGAGGTTATGGACGGGCGGATTGTTACAGCGCTCAATGTACCCGCGTAGAAACTGACCACCTTGAGAGAAACCTAGCGCGTTGATGGCTGGGGCCGTGCTGAGGATGGGGTCCGCAGCAAGCTGCTCGCAGACTAGGGCGATTTGCTCCGTTACGTTGCCGAAGAAGGTTGCAGAGCGGTCTCCGCTACCGTCGTTAGCTACTCGGATGAGGTGTACGTATGTGCCGGGGTTGGTGGATTCGGCTATTTTGGCAACTTCAACGAGGCCTTCTCGTTCGAAGTCATCGCCCAGACCGTGCCAGATCACGAGAGGTAGCTGTATTCCGCTGGTTGCATCAGTGGCGGATTGCCACGGGAGCACAACTGAGAGAGCTTTGGTAGCCAGTGCGGCCAAAAGTGTGATAGAACGCATGTTTAAATGATGAAACTGACAAGGGATCGCCAAGATGTCAGCGTTGTTGAGAATTGAAGATGGGGAAAATGACGTTGCTTCGGAAGGCATCAATCATGTGATGACCGAATGCGGTAGTTTAGAACTATAGGAACCAGCGTACGATGTAGCGGAGCATGAACAATTGAAACAAACTTGTAGAATAGCTTATGTAGTGATTTTGGCTGAATCAAGAAATCTAGTAATCCATCCCATTCGTTGGCATGGTGAATTGATCGTTGTCCTTGTAGGTGCTTCGGCCTGCGGAAAGATCCAACGGCACTACCGTGCTAATATTCGTTTACGATGTAGCTAGCAGGCCGCGCAGGTTCCCCGTAGAGTATGAAACAGAGAGATATTGATGCACCTATCTGAGATGTGGCTCCAGAAAACGGCCCATTCATCTGACTTTCCGACTGAAAATAAGCGTTGAGCATCATACACTGCTGGGCAAAGCTCTGCGCTGAGATAGTTGTGAACGAGGAAAGAGATTGATAATCCAGGTAGCTGTCAGATTCTCTTTCCCCAAGTCCTGATCCGCAATAGGGGATCCTTCGTGATCAAGTAGCATTGACTGTGATGACATGCTGTTTGTAGCCACCCCTGAGCTGTCATTGGATTGCGCCACAGGTTGTCTGTTGAACTCAAACTGAATGTCTTCTTCAATGGTGTCGATTACCGAGGATGAATTTCTGCCTCTTCGTAGAGGTCTAGGCCGCCCAAAAAGAGTAGACCCATTGTTGTTAGCTGCTACAAGCCGTTTCCTGTCCTTCTCATTTAGCTTTCGTCGCTTCCCAAACCGCTCGACTTCCTCCACAGATGTAAATCCAAGCTCGAGTGGACGTGTAGCAGACACGGCTGCCCAATCAGGTTCTTTCAGCAGCTGGCGCTTGACCTCGGTCAAGTCATTGTCACTATGAGTGGACTGACTACCAGTCGAATGTGAGACCGGCTCTTCCGTGACTCTAGAATCAGCACGAGCGGGTCAGTACAAGGATGACCACACGGATTGGTGGAAGCAAAGTCAAAGCAATCAACAGCTCTTGACTGACTGATTTCCATTTGTCTCTATCTTATCCTCATGCTTGTTCCTAGTGCTCGAGCCCTTGAATCCAACATCAGGAAAGTTTCGGAATAGCGAAGGCGGGGAAATGACCGTGTTTTTTTGGAGTCTCACCCTGGCGAAATTCTGCTTCTGAGACTTGGTCAACAGGCCTGAGCGATTGTGATGACGCTGCAGCTGGCCGCCTGTCCAATTCATCACGCCAAGGAATGGAGAGTGGAGAGTGGATAAGCCTCGAAGGGGCTTCCAACGTCAGTTATGCGTGGGTGTTTGCCAAATGGAAGCAAACAGTGTAAAGTATACAAACTGTTTGACATCACATGACTTGGTCGACTACAAAAAAATGTTTTCTTCCTTTCCCTCTTCCTTTTCTCCGTCAATCATATCCCATCACAGCCCTGGAACATGACTTGTTTCATGACAACTCATCCCTTACTCTTCCGACAATTCCCGCTAACAGGTAAGCCTATCAATTTTTTGGGATTTACCTTTTTGGTTCCAACGTTTGCCGATGGCATCTGCCTTTTTGTGATGAACAAACAATATTTAAAGCATAGTTCACCTGAGATCTTCGGATTGCTGAACGAAAACATATTCCATCTTTCATTTTCTGATCATGTCACCCCTAAAATTCTGCCTTTTTTTTTCTTCCTATACCACTTCTTTTGAACTCGGCTGACGAAAAAAAAGATCTGGAAAACAGGAAAACTACTTCGTGCATGCATTGCTGCCCAACGTGGGTCTGACTCCCTTGCTCTCCCGTCCCGTTGTCCAGTAATCTCAGCTAGACTCCGTATTTATTTCTGTTTTGGATTATTCAAATTTACAACCTTTTTTTGCCCATTTTCTACTTTTTTCTTGCTTCACTGTATTACATGTTCAAGTCTTGACCGTTGTACGGAGTACTGCGTACAAGATGACTTCATGCTGCAGATATGCTTTGCGTGGCACGTCTGACGTGGGATTCTTTCCTCCATACGATACTTGCTCAGGTGCAACTTGAGTTGTATATCTCATCGAACACGCGAGTGAACCTGTCGATCGTCCAATGCGGACATCATCACACAGGGTCAGCCTGTCTCCCTATCACCAATCATGCTTCTCGCCAAGCACTCCAGACGCCGAGCCCGTCTCACCGCTAGTAAATATCCCTCCACTCAGTCAAACGAACACCCCCCCCTCCCCCTAATCTGCAGATGCCATCATCATCATTCTGCAGCACTGGCTCCTCTTAGGGTGCCAACAGCGCACTCGTCTCCTGCATGCTGCGAGACTGGCACACGCAATGTTTGATGGCCCACAGACCCTCTAAAGTCCGAGCTTTCAATTTTTTTCTGTGCTAAAAGGCCGCTGATCCCCCTCCTCCAATCTACTTCTTCTTTTTTCTTCTTCGTTAATTCTGAGTGCCCCTTTTTCAGCAACCAACACCTTGTGTATCACTTTTATATATACTCCTCTTCCACATACAACAACTCAGTCCCTGGACCAAGGACAACTTCTTTCTTAACCCAAAATTCGCTGATTTTTGATGCAATCATTGCCACAAGGATATATCTCTGCCACATACTTTCCCGGACAGGATCTGTTTTCTTGTTTATCTCCCAGGCTTTTCTTTAGTCTGCCCACACATCTCGGCAAATACAATAGGTAGCTCCCGTCATTTTTTTTTCCTTTACAATTGGTTCTCCTATGCGTTGTCATTTCATTTCCTTTCTCTTACGGACCTGTACCGCTCTCAACTGTGCTTGCCAAGGATGTCGACGACCTATTTCCCAGGACCCAAGGACCTTAGACCCACTCCCATCCCCGGACTTTTGGCCAATCTTTTTGGCGACCATGAATAGGGAATCACTGCCAAGGATACTTGCCTTCAGCACCTGCTGAGTGAATCTCTTTGAGATGTGTTTAATGTTGCACACTCAAAATCGCCTGACTTCCACTGTCGCTGAACTACTGCCATGGATTTTTCTTCTTTTCACATTGCCTCTACTCTAAGACCGGAGTTTTGAGTGCGGATTTTGATATACCCTTGGAACCCCACTTTTCTCTGGAAACAACGCCCCTGGAATGAGCCACATGAACCAACCCCTTTGAGGACTTGAAGTTGTGACTCTTTGCCTGGAAATCTGATGCTACTATGGCCACTTTCTCTCAACAATAATGGATCCATTTAACCCCAAGGAAACAACCAAGGAATCTTTCAAGCTAAATGTGTTTGCGTCCTATCAAATATGGCCTCTTAAAGCATCCGCTTCCAACCCTGCTTACGCTTTTGCTTTTGGAACCTGGCCACTGTGTACCTATTTGATCTGGCCGCAGAAATGAACGACTTTCTTTTGCTTACCTGGACTCGCCTGGATGAATGATGCTTCAACCGAATAGTAATTCTGGCCGTGATGAATTTGTTTTCGACCTGGCACCACTTACCATTCTCCCTTGGATTGACAACAGACCTGGACTCGAACATAGACACGACGACTTTGATTAGGACCTTGCGGCAATTTCTGGTCGGCCAAGGAACTTCCAATCCTACAAGAACGATTTTGGTGCGTGTGAAAGATCGTGACCCGACCCCTGGTCTCATTACTGACTTTCACTAGGGTTTCAACTATCTCTGGACCATGGAGCTCTTCTTTTTTTTCGTCTCTTTTTTTTTGCTTTACTGTTTTTTCAATTGTTTTGTGATGAGTAGTAGAGACTAACTCTTTGGTTTACAGTGTTTTTTTTACATCATACAACCACACACAATGTCTCCTAGGACCACCAACGATTCTGACCGAGTCTCTATCGCACAGTCCATGCACACCTCTAAGGTTTCAGGAATCTCAAATATGGCCTCAAGCTCAATCCAGGATGAAGAAATGTCGAGCCGTGACAACACCTCGTTGTGCTCAAGTATCCGTACAGCCCATGGAAATCCACAGGACATGAAAGACTGGACAATGAACCACCAAGAATCACTTGACCAGGCTATTTCAAAAACACACTCATCCGAGGTGCACATGCTTTCTTTCTCGCTGTCCCAGCAGCTGATGACCCCCACGGTCGGACCAAATGATGTTATGTACCCAGGCATGGACTTCCCAGCAGTCCCTGACATGAATGACCATGAAATGTCCCGGGATCTTTATAACTCTTTCCTGGATTTCTCTTCTGTTGAAAATGATGTCTGTGTTGGAAATGGCACGCCAGATGATGCTCTTTCCATTGGACACAGTTCTCACAGCACTGAGGACAATCACTATATCACAGGCCCGGAGTCGTGGACCCCAATGATGCATGATGCCCACTATCCAGGAACAACCATGGAACAATACTCGTCGGGTCTCTTCCAGACCGCCCCGGTCTCTCCACCACTGACCGACGCTAGCAATGATATGTCTGTTACTTCTTCCTGCTCACACGCGGGATACACTTCGTTCATGGCCCCTGATGATGCACTCCTTGGTGACTTTACCACATCGCCCATTGGAACGACCCATGGACTCAACCCTGCGGAGCCTTTGTTCCCCAGCCCTTCTCTTAACGACGGGGACCTCAACAGGTGAGTATCAGAAAAACTGATACGCGAGAAAACACACCATTTGATCACAAACCTAACCACCATATCGTAGGACAATCAGACCCTCAAAGCCATCCCGTCGTGCAGCATTGTCGGCTGTTTCCCAGCACCAAGGAAAGGTTGATCCTGATTTCTTCCCAACACTGCCAGTGAGAGAGCCAACCCGTCAGAGATCCAAGGAAGGTGTCGAGGCTCGTAACCCGCGAGAGCACCAGTATTACTCCATGTCCACCCATAGCGATGGAAAATACTACTGCCCATTTGCCATTGGAGAAAACCCCTGCAACCACCCACCCACTACGCAAAAATGCGCTTACCAGCAAGTCCTCCCGTGATTGAATCTTTGGTGTGGTCTGAACCCAGCTAACCGATGTCAACTAACAGCAAGTATCTGGATTCCCACCTGAAGCCATATCGCTGCAAGGTCCCCGCCTGCATTGATGCCCAGCTGCGCTTCTCTTCCAACGCCTGTCTGTTTCGCCACGAGCGTGAAGCCCACGGGTTACACGGCCACGGAGATAACCCCCACCTCTGCCTATGGGAGGGCTGTGAGCGCGCTGTCCCTGGAAATGGATTTCCAAGGAGATGGAATCTTTATGATCACATGCGTCGGGTGCATGACTATGCCACTTCCGAGCGCCACAGCTCGCCCGAGACCTCACCCGGCGCTGGTCAGATCAAGAAGAAAGAACCCGCTGGTCGCAAGAGAAGAGTCACCGGTGTCACTCCAGCTCCCACCATGAAGCGTACTCGCTCCGTCCAATCTCAGGCTAGCTCCATTAAGGCCACCCAGACTTCCGCTAGCCTTGGTCAGCGCCTCCAGAACGCTGAGCAGAAATTTTTCGAGTGCCGCTCGCGTCTGCTAGATGAGCTAGTCAACATTTCCCCTCGGGATATCACCATGCACGAGAAGGTCAACGCCAGTTTCCAGGAACTGTTCACCTTGGGTCTGAACTACCGCCAAATTGAGGCCAGCCAGGCTGTTTCCCACAGGTCCAATGGAATGCCCTGAAGGGTTACGGTGCTGTAGGCCTCCGTCCTGGAGGAGAACAGCGGGTTATTTTTTAAATGACATGGAAAAAATTCACGGAGAAACTTTTCTTGATTTCCTATTTACTCCATGGCCAGACCGTGCTGCTTGCTGGCCAGGCACTTTCGATACATGGAGGAACCCAGTGCGATTGCTCGCGGAGTACGTGAGTAGACTTCGGCCAAAGGATGGTCTCAGTTTGATCCCCTCATCGGTCACAGACAATCCGATTCCAAAATGGAAAATACGGCCAGGAACTGGGTATAGTACCAGCGTGGTGCCCCACTTCACGCTTGAGAGCACGTTGATCTGCCCCCGATCACAAGTTGCGCTCCACAAGGGGATCTGGATTCGGTAACAATGGCTTCTGAGCTTATTGTGCTGCACTTCAGATCCATGGACAAAACCATCCCAATGACACAACAGACCCGAAACCTTTGCGGAGGAAACGGCAAAGCGGGATATGGTGTCTCAAATGGGGAAGAAGAATGACAGTAACGAGAGAGAGAGAGAGAGATATATATATATAAAGCCATGTACTGTCCAACAGTTGGTTGGATTTTGGATTTTTTGACATTGACAGAAATTGGTGCGCTTTTGTTTTTGCTTCAAATGACTTTTTTTTACTTTGCAATTCTTCTAAACACGCACACCTGTAGACCTGAAGCGTACGATGTATGCAAGTCATGACCTCGTTATCTCGTTACTACCAACCGACCTCTTCGTGTGATAGAAAAGACATCTGATCCATCTGATCCTACTCAAATGTAAAAGCATCTATTCTTCAGCAGCCTCTACAACCACACCCGAGAACTCAGCATTGAGAAACCGCACAAACGCATCTCCAATCTGATCAGCCGACAGCGCACCGCCTCCAGAGCCATGACCCCGACCAATGTACGATCTGTTCAAACCAATCCACTGTCTTCGCAGCCGCTGGAGCCGCGGCAGAGCCAAAACTCCACCAGCAGCGGCGAGTTCATCCGTCGTTCCAGTCATGGCGACATGGGACGGAACAAGGATGGCAATCGTTGTCTCGGGAATGTCAATGGCGATTGCATCGGCGCGATCGCTCTGCGCAAGTGCTACTTCGGCCGATGGGTATTTCTGCGTGAAATTGCGTATTGCGGTCACGACTGCCGATGTCCGCTTTTCCATTGCGTACATTGCGTTTGAGTCTGTTGCCGCTGCTTGCACAGTGGCTTGGTGCGGGATGATTCGGGCGCGGTTTGAGAGCCCGCTGCGGCCGCCACCTCGAGTTCCTGTAGCTGTGCTAGCAACGTCTGAGATGGTGGTGGACGCGAGGGAATCCAGTAGGCTTGGGAGGGCTGTTTCAGTGGGAGCTTCGGTTGATTGGAGGACTACGCCTGTCAAGGCTTCGAAGATATCTGCTACCGGGGGTTCTAGGTCCGCCCAGGGAACGGTGAAAAGGGGCTTATCCCAGCGGCTGTGGGTACTTGGTTCCTCGTAGCGGAAGATGAGGTTATTGAGCAGTTCAGAAGGGTAGGCCTCCTCCGTGTCCTCCTCGGTGGACTCTGCGGAGTCGGGCGTGGGGGTATCTTGAGTTTCTAAGGTCTGCGCATCCGATATCTTTGAATCTGCTTCCTTGCTAGCGTCTCGGCGCAGTCGAGCGTCGTTGTTGGCGATGCACTGGTCGATGGGTGTCCCGACGTGAACCTATAGCAGACTTGTCAACCATTGGGTGTCGCAATTCATCTTGTGTTCCAATCTCATACCACACAGCATGTTGTTTGCGCAGCTTTCGCCTCGCACCACAGCTGGTACCTCCATCCTTTGATATAATTCATTCCGTCGAGGATGACGATGCTGTCCCGCTTGAGCACCCGCTTGGCTCTCGCGTAGGCGACGCCGCGCGCCTCCTTCTCGGTGCGGGCATGGTCGTAAACAATCCGTGGATGAGAGGAGTCGTGTGAAGCGACCACATGGACCTTGTATCGAGACTTCAAGGAGACCTGTGCGCCTGCTTTGGCTGCTGCGAATACTTCATCTTGGTGTTTCTCAAACAGAGATGCGAGTTGATTGGCGCGGTAAGTAAGACCGGAGCACGGGTATCCCGTTAAAACAACGAGCTGAATAGATATCTGTTAGACCTGATCGCAGAAAATATGAGGTTTCTCGACGTACCGGCATCGTTGTGTTGTCGCGGTGTTTGTTCAGGCGGACTTTTTTTTTTTTCTTTGCGGGGGTGGCATGTGACCCGCAAGTACACATATGAACCATGAACCATATATCTTCTTGGGCGTGGAAATTTGGATTGTTTTCTTAATTGGCAGGATCGTTTGTTAATGCGCATATAATATGAGAAGCGAAAATCAAGATTGGAAGGCTGCTGTAAAGTGAAATAAAAGCCTGAAGCATGAGACAAGAGATTTATCAGGTCAGGTGTCTTAATGTGGTGAATGTATTCATTTCCTCTAGAATAGATCTCGATCTCAGTGTCTATAATTTTCTATCGAACTTTTGTCATGTAATCATGTCATCGTTCCAAGTAGGCCCGGGGTATCAAATCAACGGCTCAAACAGCCTTGGATGAATTCTCCAATTGATCCTTCGCCCATCGGAGTTCATATCCGAACACGGTTTTTCGGAGCCTTTCATCCTGCGAAGAGTCAGTATCACGGCCATTTTAAAGGAGAAGTCTTAAAATGAAAACCTACGCCAGGATCTTTCTCAAATAGTACTGTGTCCATCACCTTCTCAAAGATCTTGGTGACAGCGAAACCGCTCGCCTCGGCCAACGGGAAAAATTGCTCGGTCTTGGGTAACAGCCAGGGCTGGTAGGGGGTGAAAATCACCAGAGCAACAGACTTCGGGTCCTTCTTCATGGACTGCTGCATGGTCTTGATCAAATTCGGGTGCTCACGATGGCTGTATACCACGTCCGCCATGATCAGGACGTCAAACAGGGATGGAGAACCATCGATAGCAGGAGGCAGATACGCCCGCAGCGGGCTCACATCGCTGCCCCATTTGTAGCCATCGACGTGAAGGCGGGGCTTTCCGTCTTCCCTCGCGGGAATGGCACTGGCCGACAACTCTGCATTGTACTTCATGTTTTGAACTAGATCAGGATCCGAATAATCGGTCATTACCACTGTCCGGGCACCTAGAATGGCGCTCACGATGCTGGGCACGCCTGCCGCGGCACCAATCTCGAGGACATCCTTGTTTCGGATGAGAGCCTCGGCATGCTCCTCAATGTAATGAGAGCTAGTTCGGCCGGCGTTCCATAGCAGGTTTCCCTGTCAAGGTCTGTAAGTAGGCACCTCGGCTGATTATGTCAATTGGTATCATACATAGAGGGGGTGGCTGCCCACAAGACGGACGCGCACTTTCTGTCCCGATAGCATGGTATGCTCGGCAAATGTCGGGGGCTCATCCTCAGGATAGTACCCTTCCGGGTCCTGGAACAGATCCCCTGAATCGAAATCGTCGGTCATGGTAGTATGACTTTTAACTGCTTCTAAGCTTTGGAGGGGAAAAAAATAATCGGTATCGGTTATCGATTTCTTATCGGGATGTTCATGCCTTAGGCATGCAGATACCATGCCTGCAGGTGTGGGCCAACAGCGGATTTCTCGGCTTCCCGAGTTCGGGTATTAGCGACTCACATCGGTTCAGACAATGTCCCCTGAATTGGCTGATTATTACTCTCAAACCCTCTACAGCTTTAGAAAGTCTCTCTATCGACTGTTATTTGTACACTGCGAAAGTGTACCGTAGAAGTCACGTGCTTACCGCCACGTGATGTGGTATGTGGTGTTTGTAAACCTGTGTGGAGAAAAGCGTGGAGATACCGTCACAATACCAAGCCTCAAAAACACCCGACAAAACTCCGGGTAAATCTCGGGATTAAGGGGAAAGAAAAAAAAACCGTTGGTTTTCAAATGTCATATGCATCCTTGAGAGATATGGAAATCTCTGATATTCAAAGCATAGACTACCTCTTTTCCTTCTTTCTCTTTGATTTGGTCGTCCAGCGTCAGCCTAGTGGAAAATTCCTCCGGCTAAATTCGTCTTAGCTTCGTGCCAATTTGCATAGAGTGACTTCGATTTCCTTGCCACTCTGCTTTTTTTTCCACGCTTGATTTCCTATTGCATCTTTGTCCATAGCAACAGAATCTCTCCTTTGATTCCATCTACCCAAGTCCACGTCCACTGCGGCCTATTCTTTTTTTGCATCGGGAAGATCGGACGGCTAGAGTCACGTCATGGACTCGACGCTGCGAACACCATACAAGCCTCACGCATCCCTCGCCCAACCCACCACTTCCTTCCATTCCTCTTCTTCGACCCTCAGTCCTTCAGCTGGGCGGTCAAACATGGAAGCCCAGGCTCAAAGTACCCTTGAAGTCGCATCAAATGCGACCAGACAGGTGTTCTCCTCACCCTCGCTACAATCTGCCTGTTCCCCGCAGACCTCCGCCTCTCCTATGCAATCCTTGTCACAGGCATTTGGCAACACATCCAACCCGAGTACCCTTCCTCTCGCCCCCGCAGCCAACACCCAAGCATTTTTACCTATGAATGCAGCCCCCGCTCCAGCACCCACATCCGATGCCTATCCCCACCAGATTCATGGTCTTGGAGGTCCAACTGCCACAGCGCCCTTTCTGCAAGATTTTAATCTCGTTGCGGAGGCAGCCAAGCGTGCTCAAATCGGCATTGTCATGCGTGATCTCGAGAGCGTGACTCTTTGATTTGAGATGATACCGCTAGATAGGGCAGGACCCAGGTCGGGGATAGAGATGCCGTGCCGGTTGCACGTGCGTCTCTAAGGTGCATGGACTGGCTCCATTTTCTAGACACGCCGGGGCTGGGATTACTATGGCGTATTGTACGTGGGCTTTGGATTTTGGATTTCTTTTTGGATTCTGCAGACGCATCTTCTTTGCTCTCAGAAGGTTGCTGCGTTCGAACTTGCATTCCATCCTTGCTTTTCGGGTTGATTCCGATGTCGTTTTCAGACGGTGTTTCCCAGGTGCATACATTTCCCTTTTATGGCTTACAGCCTTATACCATCTGCCCATGAGGCATACAATCTGATCCGTCTAAAAAGTACATGCGAAGTGGCAAGCCCAACGGTGATCCTGAGACTCCATTACAATCTGCTCTAATGGAGTCGATAGAAGCGAAGGTAATAACTACCGACGATCAAACTTCTTTCTGTCAATGCAGACAGTGACGCATGGATTTGATCCTTCCTTGAATCCGAGATGATCCAGTCTGCTAGATTCGGTATCGTCATTAGGTGCACAAGCTCTATGAGATACCCTTTTCGGTTAAAGACCTTACTCCAAGTTGTAGAACCTTTCCCCGCGTTGTGGAGAGGTGCCGACCTTGGGGAGATCCTTCCCTGGAATTTTTGACCAAGTCCCTTGCATGTATATCCAAATTGAAACCGTCCATTTGCTATGTCTAGACTAGTCCATGATAGAGCAAGTCCCTATGCCATCGCTGGTTTCTGTCTCGTCAACTGGATCAACTACGGACTAACCCATCGTTGATGGTGACTGGAGACCCGGATGCCATCTGCCGACAACGCCCGCAAATATACCTTGAGCGTGACGATGAAGCGTTTGAGAGAACGTTGGCAAGGAAGTTGTGCCTATTGAGACAGCAGAGCATGGGGAACGGACCGATGCAGAGAGGCAGACGTGAGTATGAGACTTGCCATTGATCGATTTTGCAAAGCCATGAGTATGTAGTGGAGTATAAGACTCGAGATATCCAGTGATAGCCGTTAATTGTTTCCGATATCTTGGTCGCATTTAGAATACACCATGGACGTTTTCCGCCATGGTTTTTTAGGGCGTTGGACAACGGGCGGACGTTAGCCGGCAACTTACTAGTGAAATGCCAACTGGCATGGTGGCGCAATAAGTGATTTAGTGAACTCAAGATGTAGTTTCTTCAAAGGGGTTCGGTAGAGATTTATATTATTCTGTCAAGAGAGAAAAAAATTTTTTTTCCAAAACTTCAAGCCAAGATTTCAAATAGACCAGAAATCCAAAAATCCATCCCCAACACCGAGCTATGCGCAAGTCAAGCAGAGAGAAATAGAACCGAAACCTCAACCCACGAACTTAGCGATTAAGCAAATGAAAATTAATCGCTGTTCTCCCTCTCCAAATTGATGGATATAGCAGACACACAAAAGAAAAATAAATGAAAAGAGAGTAATTAACCCAGAACACCCCCTTGCGCATGGATGAACAGCTGTAGTATGGCGACGATTCGAGCATCGATACCATGCACATGGATGGGGAGTAATGCTGTCTGTTTGATGATCGTCAGATGATATTTCCGACTATGAAACGAACGATGCTTGGCTCCTGTTCGCGCATTGAGTTGATGAACCGATCAAATTCGGCGACGATATGCTGCCCTCCTGGGAGCTAGTAGGCTTGCCTCGCGAAGAGAAGATTGACAACCGACGGGAGATCCGTTGGCTCATTCCTCCTTTCGGAGACCAGTTGTCGAAGGAGATGATGGACATGGACCGCGGCCGCGGGGGTCTGTGGGATGTCACCGGAGCCTCTGGGCGAGATAGGGGAGTCGTGAAACCGGGTCCGTCGTAGAACATTGTTGAGCGACGCTTGAGTTTTTCGGTAGTTTGGCGAGCGTCCATTGAAAGGTCTTCACGAATATCGCCTAGGACTTGCGACACTCGACGAAGTAGTTTAGGAGGTTTGCTATAGATGGAGGGTTCTCGCTGCTCTAGGCCGTAGACTTCTAGAGGGGTTGAGTCGGTTTCATCATCCATGGGGGACGAGTAAAACCGAGCATACTTGACAGCCATCGGGGCTCGGCGGGTATTCAGTAAAAGTGTCGATGTGGGGGGATGTTGGTCCGGTGAAGAATGAGACTCCGATGAGACGCTGGAGGAATAGGAACTATTTGTTGCCGATGAACTCAACATGGCTTCTCTGAGATCTTTCACGGGAAAAGAGAAGAGAAAGGGAAAAACAAGGCCACAAAAGGGTATTCTGATGGAATTCCGAAAAAGACCAAAAGTGGATCAGAGACATCAATCTTTTAGTTCCGTCACACTTAGATGACTTGGTCACTTTTGTTTTAGGGGGGAGGAGGAGGAGGAGGGAAGGGTGGTTTTTTTTTTTCTCTCTTTTGATTTTTATCGGATTATATTGCACTACTCCGTAGTGCACATCTCAGCTCTTTTTAAGTTGTCCCCATGACTATTGACGCTGGAGGATCTATTGTAGAAGCAAGATTATCCATGTGGAAAGACACTCGCGGGGTGATCAGATCATGTCTCAAAGATCTGACAACGCGGCTTCGATCCAATGACGCTGCAGTATAAAGCCACGATGTACGGAGTAGCCGATGGGATATTTCCCTTCGTCCTCGGACGACATTTCCCAAGGGGCAAAAGTCAGTCCGGGAATTGTGGATTCGGCATTGCTGATTGGTCCGATGCCCCGCTCAGGGGATGGCGTCATGGGTCTAGTACG